CTCTCAGACTGAAGAAGTCTCTTGGAAGAGAGACGAAACGTTTCATTAAAGAAGAACCCGTCCAGAGGACCTATTCAATTTTTTTTCCTTTTAATTTTTTACCTGGATTACTGAGATGCATCAGGACATAAAGTCTAATGTTACAACTAATCGGGGATCCCTTTAAAGAAAACACAAAAATAGCTTTAACTAAGAGAATTTTACAGATGAAAAACAAAAATCATCATCTGTAACTCTACAATGAAAGGCAGAGGGAAAGAAACATTCTTTTAAGGAATGCCAGGTCTCTCATTAAATATCATTTGGCGGCTTCTGATTTAGGTCATCGGATTTCTCAAAATCTAGTTCTTTAAAGCACTTGGAATATATTTTAACTGTCATGAGTTCCTCGTTGTGTGTGTCAGCAAATTCAAAACAAATACCATCTATTCTGCTCAGCTGATTTCATGGAGCAGACATGGATATGTTCTTTGTTTCAGCCAATTCACAGTGACTGAATGTAAAACAGCTCTAACTTATGTTCAGTTGCGAGTATGAGTAGAAACCTACCTTGATATACCATCCCAGGAAGTGAGCTGGAACAAAACCATCCATCTTATCCTGTAGACACAAAAAAATCATGTAATTAAACGTTTTGTTTTTCAAAATGGTTTTAGTCCTAAATCGCCTGACAGCCTGCAGCTCACTTTCAAACCTGACACAACAGTAATATTTAGATTCAGTTTGCTTACTCTCTCATTCTTCAGTGTCCTAGAAAGAAAAAAATAGCAAATAAAGTAAAATAAAAATCATCACGTTGTCCAAAAAACATTGCAGTCAATCAACATCATGTCTCAGAAGGGTTTGAAAAGCAGCAAGACTCAGAAAAATAAACTGCAGCTTTTGATGCAATACCTTCAAATGTGTGTTTATCATAAAATCCCCCTCATGTGACACAATGCTGTAAAACAGAGCTGCCAACCCTCACGCATGGACCGTGAGACATACACATCGGAGGGTCTTAAACGCTCTCACGCCACACTCCCAATTTCTCACGCTGAGAACTGACTAACACCAAAAACTGAACTTCGGTCCACCTTTTTTATTATAAAAACACATGAATTGATATAAATCCAGTCCATGTTTTCACTGCAACCTGTGGTGTTACACACAAGGACATGCCAGGTTGTTATCCAGTCCGTATTTTCACACCAACCTTCCATCTACTTGTAAACGGCTCTGTGGAGCGGGAGAGCGTGGACCTGCAGACGATGAAGCCCAGTGTGCTCCCCCTCCCAATTTAAAAAAGAGAAAGAAAACAGGTAAGCCACGGGTAAAATTAACTAACGTGTTAGAAAGAAAGGAGAACGAGATGGATGGAGCAGAGAAACTAAGGCTACGTTCACACTGCTGGTTTTAATGCTCAGTTCCGATTATTTGAAAAAATCCCATCTTTTTGTGTGAACGTTCACATTACATTTTAAATGTGACCTGCATCAGACCCCTGTGTGAATGCTACACAGCGCTGATGTGACACGCATGCGCAGTAAACGACATGACGTCTCATCAGCCGGCTTGTTTGTTTACAGAGCTAGCATGGATGCTACATATTACCCATCGAATCTGAGGTTGTTGTTTAATCAGAGCCGATTAAATAATTATCTGACCTGCTTCTTTAGTTCAGTGTTTATATCTGAACCTGCCTCTGACGAAACTACGAGCTGGAAAAAAGTATCGACCGAGTAGCTAACTTTAGGATCGATACTCTCCAAAAAGTATCGACCGAGTAGCTAACTTTAGGATCGATACTCTCCGCAACCCAGGCTGGACATCGTTATTATCATACTATCTACATGGAAAATGAAAAGTAAAAAGATGAAGCAACTGGACTTGTGTTTTGGAGCTGTAAACACATGGAGCTACAGATTTAAACAGCGTGATTTCAGGTTAGTGTCTTATCGATCCTTCAGCCCCTCCTCACTGATGAAAAACTCAGATGAATGTGACATGAGTGTTCACACTGCAGTCACTTTGAAAACATCAGATATGTATCCGATTTAAAACCACATACTGAAACGGCCTGGGTTGGATTTGAAAAAATCGGATTTGTCACGTTCAGACTGTCATAAAAAAAACGGATATAAGTCAGATGGGTCAAAAAATCCGGATTTGGGTCGGATTTGCCTGCAGTGTGAACGTAGCCTAAGAGGGAAAAAGGAAAAAGTTGGTGCGAGATGCAGCCTAATGAGTTAAATAAACAGATATTTTCTGTGACGAAGGGGCTGAGGTCAGGCTGAAGCCAAAGACATACAGACCCAACAGAACCAGGTTAGCAGCTCTGTCTACATCCATCATCTCAGACGGAGGTTATACAGCGGGTAAAATAAGTATTGAACACGTCACCATTTTTCTCAGTAAATATATTACTAGAGGTGCTAATGACATGAAATTTTCA